ATGGACTCTTATCTCAGAGCTCTGATGAAGAGTCACCGGACTCCAAACAGAGCATCACCTTGTCAAAGGCCATCTGGATTTGTGGGTTGATTGAAACTCTTTTGTCCACATTCTTTTCAACAGAGGCTGACTTGTAGCACCCAGAGTGATGAATATATTTGCTTCTTTTACCTGCAGTGCAGAAGTTTTTAATGGCTGTCCTCAAGCTGACCTTCATTGACACTAGCTCATCAGATCACTAACACACACGGACCAGAATTTTCAGTCATTTTTTAATCCTTTTTTGTATTTTCCCAGAAGTATAAAACACAATACTTTTGGAGATGACTTCTGCTGAGAGGGATTGGGAGGTTAGCCGCTCTTTAGCCCTTCCTTTTTAGCCTTTCTGTTTGAAGTTTCCTTGACTCTATAAGGGTGTGGCATTCCACATCTTCACACAGGCGACTATCAGCCAATTATTGAAGTTCTATTTGCAGGCATCTTTTTGGCTGTTGCAGTCCTTTTCTTAAAAAGAAATGCATGTTGGAATTAAAAGTTAACAATGTTCATAAGCGCTTTGTGGTTCTGAACAATACTTTAAACCTGTATCATTTGGTTATTGAGCTTTTTCTACCATGAGAAACAATTTCAACTCCCTGAACATCCTGATCAACTTGATTAGGGATGCAGGAGCAGAGGAACCTGGGACAGAAACAGAAATTGCTGGAAAAACTCAACAGGTCCGGCAGCATCTGTGGCAAGGACATAGAGACAATGTTCAGAGTCCGGTGACTCTTCATCAGAACTCTGAGCAAGTGAAGCAAGGGTGACGTGAGGAAAATCTTTTTCAGTCAGCAAGCAGGTTAAAGTATGGAATATACTGCCTGGAAATCTGGTGGGAGTAGGTTCAATTGAAGCATTCAAGTGGCACTGGATTTTTGTTTTGCATAAGTAATGGTATGCAGTGATGTGAGGAGAGGCAGGAGATTGACACTAGATAATAAAGTCAGTCTAGCTAATTGAGCTGCTGCAGGTGTTGACGGGCCAAATGGCCTCCTACACCATTATAAATCTGTGATTCTGTGATGAAGTCTCCCCTTTACCTATGTTCCTTTGAGAAGATCAGTGCAAATTTTCCCAGTCTCTCCATATAACTAAAGTCTTTTATACCTTGTAATAAATATCTTCTGCACTCGTTTTTAAAGTGGCACCGAGAACTGAACACAATACTCTAGCTAAGGCTACCCAGCACTTTAGTATTATTTCCTTGTCTCTGTGCTTTATTGCTCTGTCAATAAAGCCAAAGATTCCAGACATATTTTAACAGCTTTCTTAACTTGCCCAGCCAGCTCCAAAGATTTGAGTGCTAGCACCCTTCTCCCTCTGTTTCTGCAGCGTCTTTCCAATTGTATCATTTAGTTTATATTGCCTCTCCTTATTTTCAACATTAAAATGTATCATTTCGCATCTCGCATGAGCTTTCACTTTTCCCGTGTCTGTCCAATTTACCAATCTAACTGCTCGAAATCTATTACTATCGTCCTTGCTGTTGGCTACATTTCCAATTTGACGTTATCTGCAAATTTTGAAATAATGCCTCTTAAAACACAAATCCAGGTCATGAAAATATATCCAAAAGAGAAACCCGAATTCCCTGGGGAACATAGAACATAGAACATAACAGCGCAGTACAGTCCCTTTGGCCCTCAATGTTGCACCGACCTGTGAAACCAATCTGAAGCCCATCTAACCTACACTATTCCATTATCATCCCTATGTTTATCCAATGACCATTTAAATGCCCTTAAAGTTGGCGGGTCTACTACTGTTGCAGGCAGGGCATTCCACAACCTTACTACTCTCTGAGTAAAGAACCTACCTCTGACATCTATCCTACATCTATCACCCCTCAATTTAAAGCTATGTCTCCTCGTGCTAGCCATCACTATCCGAGGAAAAAAGCTTTCACTGTCCACCCTATCTAATCCTCTGATCATCTTGTATGTCTCTATTAAGTCACCTCTTAACCTTCTTCTCTCTAACGAAAACAGCCTCAAGTCCCTCAGCCTTTCCTCATAAGACCTTCCCTCCATACCAGGCAACATCCTGGTAAATCTCCTCTGCACCCTTTCCAATGCTTCCACATCCTTCCTTTAATGCGGCGACCAGAACTACAGGAAACAGAGTGAAAATAACTACTCTGCTTTCTGTCCCTTAGTCAATTTGGTGTTCATCCGTCATGACACCCTTTATTCCCTGGAGTTTCCAGTGTCAACAGATCTATAACTTCTTCCAAGACGAACGGAAAGCTTCTGACTTAATTTTTTTTTCAAAAAAACGATTTCCATAGGGCCTTGGATGTTGACGCTGGGAGTGGGAATGGGATGTTCAGTCCTTTGCATACTGCAGGAATGTGTTTCCCTCCATCACCAAGTGGCCACCTCAGAACCATGGGACTATCTGGAGTGCAGTCACACTGTAACAAGGCGGTGTAGGAGCATTACAGAGGAGGCAACTTCCATGACAGGGCGTAAATGCCAACGCTTGGAGGTCTGGTGGTCAGACTCTGGACTTGGCCAATTTTGTGGAATGCGCTGGTTAACCACAACCATTGGGGCAACATCCATTGAAGAGTGGCATGGTGTTTATCACATGGTTGTAGTTTTTTTATTCATTTGTGGGACCTGGGTGTCAGGGATGGCTGGCCAGCATTTATTGCCTATCCCTAGCTGCCCTTGAGAAGGCGGTGGAGGTTTTAGAGTCTGTAAACATAGTGTTAACATAGAGGCCGCATTTTAGTAAAGACTCTTGTCCATTCCTTGGTTGGGTTTTCACGTTTCCCATCACCCTGAATTTCAAATAACAGAGTACAGCCAATCAACCCACAGAAAAATAATAATAAAGCGATAATGTTGGGGGCGGGACAGGGGTGTGTAGCTTCATGAACAAAAATAAACTTGCTGGAAAAGCTCACCAGGTCTGGCAGCATCTGTGGAGGAGAAAACAGAGTTAACGTTTCGGGTCCAGTGACCCTTCCTCAGAACTATCTCTGTGTGTAGCTTCATGTCCAATGGGGTACATGAACTTCCAAAGCTGCGCTTGTTTTTGGAGAAGTAGAAAGGTCGGCGAGTTTTAAACAGCGAAATTCCTCTCTCCAATCGAGCAGCAGCTCCAGCGTCCCTCTCTGGCGTCCAACGCATCCCTAATGCGGAGGCAGCAATGTGTTCCTAAATAACTTGTCAATCCCAGCAGCTAACAGGCAGCAAACTGCGACGATGGAAATGCGGAGATGTCGGCAACTCACTTTGCATTTTGGCCAACTGTGATTTTTTTTTCGCGGCAGTCTCAGAAAACGAAACCAAAACAAATGAGTTTGACCAACAGCAGTTTAGAAATCTGAACACGTACTCTAAAGCATAGGACATGTGTTCGAAGAAAATCCTAATCCTGCACTGCAATCAGGGCAGGATTAAGGCATTGTGATATAAAAGCAACATACTTCGTATGCTGGAAATTTGTAAAAACAGAGTGCTGGAAAAAACTGAGTTGAAGTTTTGAGTCCGTGTGGTTTCTTCAAAACTTTCTGAGGATTTCGAAACTTTAAATGTTTCTCTCTCCACAGATGCTGCGAGGCTTGCTGAGTTTCTCCAGCATTTTTAGTATTAGTGCATTGTCAGTTCAGTGGGGCGCGCCCATTGTTAGAGCTTTGTCAAATCATGCCCATAATTACTTGGGGGTTCGGTGACCCCAGGTGGCTGGATGCTCAACAGCGTGGATTCAAATCGCGCACCGGCTGAGCTTACTAGGAAGGGCTCCCCTTCTCAACCTCCCCCCTCACCTGAGGCACGGTGACCCTTCAGGTTAAACCGCCAATAGTCGTCTCTCTCCAATAAGAGAGCAGCCCTATGGTTCGGGAGGATTAGTGCGACTTTGTATGATCACCTGTATGAAGGGGGCCTGCACCAATTAGTTAACAACTGTTTGAAGAAAGTGTGACATTACACAAATGTAAAACCATGATATACATTCCGTGTAACAGCGGGAAAACTGAGGGGACTGGGATATCACGATCTTCCGTCAGCTTCAATTTACTATTTGTGAGCTCAAAGCCTTGAACCAATTGAATCCAGAGGCGGGTATTCCGTTTTTATAAGGCTATTCATTTTGGTTTTCCTTTGCACAAGTCGATGCCCGGTGCCTTGAGTAATCAGTGTGAAGAGCAGCTCTTTTGGAAGGGGAGCTGTCGGCCGCCTTCCCGCCAGTTGCAAGCACGCAGATGTCTCCCTTCCACTTGCTGGAGAAAAGTATTGGATCCTGCCGAGCTCGGGAAGCGTCGCTCTGATCCACGCCACAGAAATGTGTTGCTGTAACTTCCTGTGGAGTCGGTGTGAGTGAGCAAGCTCCCCTCGGCACCGGGGGCCCTGCACACCGCCTCGGAGTGTATGTGGCGCCGGGAACCGGCTGAGAGGACAGTCCACTACCTTTCCGCCTGGCCGACCCAAACAACTGGAAAGAGCTGGAAAGTTAGAGCGGGCTGAGGAAGAGGAGATCGCTGGCGGGGAGGAGGGGGTGGGGGTCGGGGGTGCTGTCCGCGCCCATTGGATTCTGTTGTGTCTTTAATGATCATTTGTAGTCAGCCACCGAGCAGAGAGAGAGAGAGACTAAAACGCCTTCCATCCCTCCCTAGGAAAAGCTGGAGACAACCAGAGAGGAAACAACTTGCAGCCGGCGGCCAATCTCGGTTCCCTCACAGAAGAGAAAAGGGGGGAGCGGGAAAAAAGAGAGAAAAAAACAGTGAAGGCGCGAAGTGGACTTGGTTTTACTGAGAGAGAGGGGACACAGAGAGAGAGAGATGATGGATTGAGCGAGGGAGCCGGACTCGCAGCTTTGGGATTCCCAGTTTCTCTTCCTCTCTCTCTCTGTTTAAAGCCCAGTTTGCCCGCCCCCACGCAGTGTTCTGTCTCCCCCCACCACCCCCCCCCCCCCCCCCCACCCTCTTTGCTGCGACTGTGGAAGGCGATCAGGACAGTGGGGCCAAGCTGGGGAGGAGGATGTCGGTGTCCGGGTACCAGGGGGGCTCGGCTCGGCCGGGATCCCTCTCCCCCCTGGGGCTGGGGATAAAGCTGTCGCTGGTGTTGCTGAGTTACCTCCAACCAGCCGCCCCGTCGGTGCGGTGCCCGCTCCCGTGCGACTGCTCGGAGGCGCCCGAGACGGTGAAATGCGTGAACGGGGAGCTGAGCGGCGTGCCGAGCGGCATCCCGGACGGAGTGCGGACCCTGCTGATCACCGGTAACGACATCCCGAGCCTGACGAGCGGGGCGTTCGAGCCGGCGCTGGTGCAGCTGGTCAACCTGAGCCTGCGGGCGAACCGGATCGGGGAGCTGGGCGGCGGGGTGTTCGCCTCGCTTCCCCGCCTGCGGCAGCTCGACCTGAGCGACAACCGCCTGCTCAGCCTGAGCCCGGCCGCTTTCGGCTCGGCTCCGGCCCCTCTCCGGGAGCTCAACCTGAGCCGGGCCCTGGGAGACCCCTCGGCGGCCGAGCAGGTGGCGGCTCTGCTGAGAACAGCGCAGCTTCCCGAGCTCCGGAGCTTGCAGCTCACCGATAACCGGCTCTCCTACCTGCCGGCCGGCGCCTTCTCCGGCCTGGCATCACTGCGGCATCTGGAGCTGGCCGACAACTCCCTGTCCGAGCTGGGGGAGGATGCCTTCGGCAGCCTGCAGCTGGAGACGCTGGACCTACGCTCGAACGCGCTCCGGACTCTAACCAACAGCACCGTGACTGAGCTGCGCCGCCATCCCTTCCTCCGGCTGCGGCTCGCCGGTAACCCGTTCGCCTGCGACTGCCACCTAGAGCCGCTGCTCGCCTGGCTGCAGCTCAGCCGCCCGGGGCTGGTGGACACGGAGGGCCTGGTGTGCGCTTCGCCCGAGTCACTGACGGACCGGCCCCTCCTGCAGCTCCGTCCCGCCGAGCTCAAGTGCCCGGTCCAAGGAGACATGGAGAGCGTCCTGCAAACCTCGTACGTCTTCCTGGGCATCGTGCTGGCGCTGATCGGGGTCATCTTCATGTTCGTGCTGTACCTGAACAGAAAGGGCATCAAAAAGTGGCTTTACAACGTCAGGGATGCTTGCCGAGACCACATGGAAGGCTATCACTACAGATACGAGATTAACTCGGACCCCAGATTGACAAACCTCAGCTCCAATTCGGAGGCGTGAAAGGACATTTTTATTTGCCGCGAGAAGCTGACTTGTTTGAGACTTAAAGACGGGTCCGCTTGGACTTTTACTTTACTGTTCGCTCTTTGTAATAGCTATGCATGATGACCCCACTCACTGGGACCAACGGGCTTAACCTTGCTGCTTGTGTCACTCTCCGACGGTTGGAAATCCGACAGTGACAAAAGGTTTGACGCTCACGGTGGGGAATTCTCCATGTGCAGTGATATTTGTCTGTGTGTATGATTATGTGTGAATGTGTGTATGTATGTGCATGTCTATGTATGTGTGCAAGTCTCTACATGTGTGTGTGTGTGTGAATATCTATGTGTGTGAACTTTCTCTCCCTCTTTTCATCACCTGCAGTGTGATGTGCCAAAATAGGGAGCGCATTTGGAAGGGATTGAAGCTCTCTCCCGAGCTCGGCTTTAACAACAGAGTACTGCTAAAAACTTAGCTGAGGATTTGAGACCTCCATGATATTAGAGTCGGGAGAGGGGATTAATTGCTACAGTAACAGTTTTACGGTTTCATAAGTGAAAAAAATTAACAACCAAGCAATAAAAGCAGTTTTTCAACCCGGGTTTCAGCAACTCAAAGTTTTATCATCGGTCCCCAGGCGGTGCAGTAACACAAAGCGACCTCGCTGGTTTAATGCATTCTGCTAAATTCCAATGACTTCAGTCAGATCCTACTCGCTGAATGAGAAAAGGCGCTTACGGTAATGGTGTTTTAATACTGGCTTTTTATTTGCGAACAGGTCTACATATGCTCCCCGAACTTAGCAAAGTAAAGTGACAAATGTAGTCAGCAGTCTTTTCTCTTGCTTGTTGGTCTCACAAATTTCATTGGGTAATATGTTCAGGATGATTGGAATGAAAGCTGGTTGTCAGCCGTCTGCCTCTGGGAAAGCCCGGGGTTGCGAAACATCTGGATCCTCAAAGATCAAGCATTGTAGCCACCCCCGTTCCCCACCCTCAATCATTATTTGAAGAATGGACGACTACGTGGAGAGTGGTTCTATTGATGCTGCCCGCAGGCCTCCCTCCTAGTGTCACAATATCTGAGGGCTGCGCATTCCCACTTGACAAACTGGTTATTTCCCGGGTACACACGTTGGGTGACGGTTGTGGGGGCGTCAAGATCGCATTAATGTTGAGCCTCGCAGTTCATGGATTTTTTTTTTGAAACGATGCTTCTTTGCAAGTCGTTTTGTAATGTTTCCAAAACTCCTAGCTGGTATGAACTTCTTGACTAAAATTAATACAATATATATTAAAGAATATTAGTTGATCAAATTGGGGAATTTGCATTGAACAAATAGATGCTGCAGACACGCATGCACACTGACACTGCGGATACGAATCATGCCAAATGGAACTGTAAATGTCAATAATTATGCTAGTAACCCTTCAGTAATAATCCAAGCAGTCAATTAGATCTCCAATCTTACAGTGAAATTTAATGAAATTAGAATGCTTAGCGCCGCTTAATATTGTGCATGAGTGTTCTGGTACTTTTAGGGAGGGTTTGCACTGGGGTAATATTAGAAAATTGCTCGCCACCGAGAATGAATCCAGCTCCTTTGATATTTGTTCAGCTTCTCAGCATGAATGAGTCTTGCAGCATTACAGCAGCACGGGATTTAAAAGTCCAAACACTTGACTGCCTTTCACGTTTGGTGATGTCTACCTGGACATAATAGGTGACAGAAACATTTCACATTCTGCAGTCGTTTTCCCTTGCAATGCAAATGCATGTCATAGATGTGAGGCCTATGCACTTGAGAACATGTTATTTTGGTGCTTGTGCTGTGGAAAAGTTTGAAAATTCTTCTTTCTCTAATCTAGCTGTTAATAGAGGATTATCTTTACACATACTATGGAAGGTTTGTTGGAGTGAGTTGATGAAACAGGTCAGAAAAGTGAAATAGCATGGAGCTAATGTTCATAACCTCTTCCAAATTTGTTATTACACATCAATTTAATTTGTTTGTATATTTTCTCAATAATTTGGCACATGACAAGGTAACCATTGATGTCTAAACACATACCATTTGTTTCCTAGTCCTGTTGCAGGCTAACAGTTTTCTTTCACTCTCAAGCAACAGGAAGTCCTTTAAGTGCTCTGATTGCACTAACACTTGAGGCTGTGGATTTTTTACAGCCTGAAGTTTTCAGAGAAACTAGATTGCGGACACTTACTAAAACCTTGCATTTTAACCCTGAGGCAGAAGACATCAGACAAGTCCAACAGATAAAATATTGCAACAGTTTGCTTGCAAGATGTTCATCATTAAGGCAGTGGAAACGTCCTTACATTCCAACTAGTTGCTTACATTTGTAAAATCAAATCAAAGACCATGACTGCTAGAAACCTGTCCATCTCTTTTTGCATTCACAGACATTTGTCTTTCTACTAGTTCCAAAATCTACAAGTAAAAATGTTTTCAACCAATGTTAACTATTTGAATTTCTAAAACATGGTGAGAAATATATAATTCCATAGTTCAATTAACCAATTTTATCCAAATCTATTTCTTGAAATATATAAAATTAGTTATGAAACCAGACTTGGGCATGGACTAAGTGTAAATGCTTTGAAATGCAAAGTGGCAGCCCATGTCTTGTATTTCACCCAAACGATGAGATTATTTGCCTGGTCACTTGTAACTACATAAAAAAAAAGTAGAATGATCCCTTAGTAAACTATTGTTCTTATGGAGTTTCTACTTTTCAATGTTACTCTTTTTGGTGTCAGGTGCTAATACTTGCTTTGATTGTAATTTCCTAAAATTTCTTTCAATTGTATTCTAACCACTATCTCCAAGCAATGGTCCACAGGTATGATATTTTATTATCATATTAATTATTACTGAACCAAAAAAAGCACAGATAGAAATCTAGGTTAATGCCATCTGGAGTGCATTTTGTTCTGATCTATATATAGGTTTGCACCAGTGAAGTGTTGATGAGAAATGAGCTGAATACAGCTTTTTGCCATTCATATACTCGATTAGTGCCATCGGTCTTATGAATACTGGAGACATAAACAAGGCCATGAGTGGGATGGTGGGGAATGAAAGGCAGTGCACCTATTTATTTGAAGATCTCATGATGTTGCTGTTAAATCATCAATGAATAACTATGTCATATGAAGAATCATTGCATGCAAAAGAAAACTATGTAATGGAAGTTGGAAAAAAGAAGTAATATTAGAGCCCTGAAGAATGTAAGCATATTCAAGCTGTATGTTTTCTGCTTAATAGCTTTGTTAACTTTTATTAAGAAAATAAATAATGTAGCTAATTTTTGGTCTTATTTGGCTTTAATTACTAACATAGATTGTTTTCATAATATTTGCATTTGTGACTATGTATGGCAGACAAGGTGTGGACATAGATATTGATAATTTCATGTTCTGTGAATGTCAACTGCATCTTCTTCTCAGTGAAAGCATATATTGCAAGCTATTCATTTTCACAAACAAAAGAAAATCATAGCATTGAAGAAGAGATAGGATTTATTTAGGTTCATTAAAGAAAAAGCAATTTAACATCCAAAAAGTAAAGCTCAGCCATGCTGGGTGATCTAACTTAATTTGGCTTCTCCGTCATTTACCAGTTACTTTGAGTTACAGCAGCCTTCAAACATATTTATTTATACCCAGCAAGCTCTGCAGTGTTCACTGTATCTGTCACAGGCAAATATACCTCTCCAGTGGCAGTTATGTCAATCAAAGCTAGATTGACTGTAAAGATGAAAAATCAAGACTGAAAGCACGTGTAGCTCAACAACATCAACCTAAATTTATACTGTACCTTAACACAAAATATTTCAAGGTAGCTTATAGATGATTAATGCCAAGCAGAAGAGATAACAGAAAGCACAGACGTAAAGATAGCTTTAGATGATTTCCAAAGCTAAAGTAGAAGGAAAGGTTAAAAAAAAACTGTGGGATTTTGGGAAATAGTTCTAACTAGTAAAGATAAAATAGCTTGGGGATTGATCCTAGTTGTGGAAAGGAGGAGGAGAGCTGGAGGGTGGCAGGAAAAGTGCAGGAAGTCAGAATTGTAGCACACGATGAGATATGTAGCTTCAGGGGGTTACACAGGTGTGCTAGGATGCAGCCAAGGTAGAAGGATTTGTAAATGAAGACAAAGAATTTGAATTAGATGTGGGAGCACAAACCATGTCTGTAGTGATAGAACTGACAGATGAGCAGCACTTCATTCAGTACAGGTTGTACACAGTGGGATTTTGCATTAGTTGGAATTTGTATAGATTGGAACTTGAGAGGCTGATGTAGAAGGTATGATAAAAGTTAATTCTAAAGGTAGCAGAAGTCTGGACAATGATTTCTATGGCAGTGAGGATGACTAAGAGCAGTACTGTTCTCTAATTTTCTTTACTTTATGCCCTCCAAGTTTACCTTGTCCCTGAAGCCCATCGCTTGCTGCAGCAATCAAATTTTCATTAAACTCTTGATAACCCAAATTGCCCTCCTGGCTTTCATGTTAACTAACATTTTCAACATTTCACTTTCTTCAGCTAATGACCACATCTTTAACTCTGTCGTTGTTACTCCTATCTTCAAAAATAATACTTCACTTCTCTACCTTTGCAAACAACTACATCATCTCCAACATCACTTGAATGTCTTGTGTCCATCTTTCCCAGCAGTCCGTGTTTGAAACCTTCTATTCCAGTTTCTGTTACTGCCACAATTTGAAGTGACTGTTATCTAAGTCACAAAAATGCAATACGGCATCACTGTGACATTCTCCACCACCACCACCACATCCCCATGTTATTTTTGACCGTGTAGCATTTTACATTTGTTGACTAGACAAACGTCGTCCGGTGCCTGTCCAGCATCTACCTGGGTGTGATAGATGGAGTTCAATTTGGATAAATGCAAGGTATTGCATTTTAGTACAACAAACAAGGGTAGGACTTATTCATTTAATAGTAGGGCCTTGAATAGTGTTGTAGAACAGAGGGACCTAGGGGCGCAGGTACGTAATTCTTTAAAGTTTGCGTCACATATAGACAGGATGGTTAAAAAGGCATTTGGCATGCTTGCCTTCATTGCTCAGTCCTTTGAGTAAAGGAGTTGGGATGTTATGTTTAGATTGTACAGGTCATTGGTGAGGCCTCTTCTGGAATATTGTGTCTAGTTCTGGTTGCCCAATTATAGGAAGGATACTATCAAGCTGGAGAGGGTTCAGAAGAGATTTACCAAGATGTTGCCGGATATGGAAGATTTGAGTTATAAAGAAAGGCTGGAGAGGCTGGGACTTTTTTCACTGGAGCGTAGGAGGTTGAGAGGTGACCTGATAGAAGTTTATAAAATAATGAGAGATTTAGGTAGAGTTGACAATAGTTGCCTTAACCCTAAATGGGGAATTTCAAGACAAAGGGTCACATTTTTAAGTTGAGAGGAGAGAGATTTAAAAAAAGACATAAGAGGCAATCTTTTTACACAGAGGGTGGTTTGCTTGTGGAATGAACTTCCTGATGAAGTGGTGGATGTGTGTACAACTACAGGGTTTAAAAGTCATTTAAATGGATACATGAATTGGAAAGGTTGGGAAGGATATGGGCCAGGACCAGACAGGTGGGACTAGTTGAGTTTGGAATTATGTTCAGCATGGACTGGTTGGACTGAACAATCTGTTTCCATGCTGTATGACTCCAAGTCTCAATGACTTAATTACATTTTTACTTATCTAGCTGGAAGTCCTGCTCCTGTCCCACTTCTGTTTTATCTGATGTTTATTGTTTCTCTCTTTCTTTTTCCTCATTCACATGCTTGACATCACCCAAAAAAAAGCACAGCACTAAATTTCATATGTACAGCGATGACACCCAGCTCCACCTCAACATCATCTCTTTCAACGTCCTGTCTCAAAATCGTCCAGGTGATTGTCCAACATTGAATGATGAATTTTCTCCAACAATATATTGGGAAGACCAAAGCCTTCAGTCCCTTTACAAATTCCATTCCAAACCATTGACTGTACCTGGGAACTAAGGATAACTTGATAATTGTGATAACTCCTGATAACTCTTGTTCACAGCCTTGGTGTCATATTTGACTGCAAGTTGAGCTCCTGGCTCTGTATCTACATCTACATTGAGACTACTTGAGCTCATTTGCTGCTGAAACCCTCACCCATGTCTTTGTTATCTCAGCCCTTTGACAATTCCAATGTGTGCCTTGCTAGTCCCCACATTTGACACTTGATAAACTTAAGTTCACTCCAAATTTTGTTGCTCATGTCCTAAATCACACCAAGTCTGGTTCACCCATCACCCCAGTGCTCACTGACCTATATAGGTTCTCAGTTAAGCAGTGGCTAAAATTACCCTAGATAGGTGAAGAGGAAACAGGCAGGTCAAAGAGGCAGGGATGGAGCCAGTAAAGATGAGTGTAGGTGGGGAGGTAGGGAGGAGATAGGTCAGTCCAGGGAGGACGGACAGGTCAAGGGGGCGAGATGAGGTTAGTAGGTAGGAAATGGGGGTGCAGCTTGAGGTGGGAGGAGGGGATAGGTGGGAGGAAGAGCAAGTTAGGGAGGCGGGGACGAGCTGGGCTGGTTTTGGGATGCGGTAGGGGTCCTTGAAAAACGAGGACATCTGAGATGTACAGGAGTGGAATGCCTCATCCTGGGAGCAGATGCGGCGGAGGCGAAGGAATTGGGAATAGGGGATGGCATTTTTGCAGGAAGGTGGGTGGGAGGAGGTGTATTCTAGGTAGCTGTGGGAGTCGGTGAGCTTGAAATAGATATCGGTTTCTAGGTGGTTGCCCGAGATGGAGACAGAGAGGTCCAGGAAGGTGAGAGAGGTGTTAGAGATGGTCCAGGTGAACTTAAGGTTGGGGTGGAAGGTGGTGGTGAAGCGGATGAACTGTTCGAGCTCCTCGTGGGAGCACGAGGCGCCGCCGATACAGTCATCAATGTTTCAGAGGAAGAGGTGGGGTTTAGGGCCAGTGTAGGTACAGAAGAGGGATTGTTCCACGTAACCTACAAAAAGGCAGGCATAGCTTGGGCCCATGCGGGTACCATGGCCACCCCCTTTGTCTGTAGGAAGTGGGAGGAATTGAAAGAGAAGTTGTTGAGGGTGAGGACGATTTCGGCTAAGCGGATGAGGGTGTCAGTGGAGGGGGACTGGTCGGGCCTGCGGGACAGGAAGAAGCGGAAGGCCTTTAGGCCATCTGTATGGGGAATGCAGGTGTATAGGGACTGGACATCCATGGTAAAGATGAGGTGTCAGGGACCGGGGAATTGGAAGTTCTGGAGGAGGTGGAGGGCGTGGGTGGTGTCACAGTCGTAGGTCGGGAGTTCCTGGACCAAGGGGGAGAAAATGGAATCCTCAAATTATCCTGCTTGTTTTCAAATCCCTCCGAAGCATTTCCCCGTTCCTCAGTCCGAGCTCAGAAATAGCTCAGGATCATTGGTTCAGACAACGAGTACTTAGGGAAAGCAATAGAATCAGCAATAATTCATAGATAATTTTGTGTTAGGTAAGCAGTTTCACAATATTTGAGACGGTCAATAAATTGGACGTGTCTTGCTGTCGTACATTACTTTAACGCGGTTCATGTACATGGAGAAAATGAGGGAACAAGGACAGACCTGGGAAGTCTGAGGCACTATCGGAAGTGTCCTGGCTATCTTGAGGTTAATAACAATGGACCCATAAGAGCGGGAGTCTGTAGGGAGTGTGTCAAAGCGAATAACAATGATGATCTATGCAGTGACCTCATCCCATCAGGACCAAAGGTTTATTACTGCATACAAGAATCAACAGTAAAGTCGTCTGCTTTTGTTTACATAAATAACCAAAAGAACTGCGGATGCTGGAAATCAGAAGCAAAACAGAAACTGCTGGAAAAGCTTTTATTCACATTTTCGCTTCCTCTTCGCCGAAGTCCATTTAAAAGTTCTTGTGCAACTATTGGCTGAGAGTCGGATCGAGTTTCCCGGAAATTGTAGTGTCTTAAAGAGCCAGCCAAATAACCGTTCACATGTAGACAGGACCGCTGACAAAGTAACAGGCAGCCCTTCCCATATCGGGAGAGCCGTAAAATAGTTAAGTCACCAGTGAAAGGGAGTGGGAAAGACATTACAATAAGGAGGCTGATGTGTAAAATAAAATTTGCACGTAAACTGGTTGTTTAAACAACGTTTCCTGGTCTACCTTACCTGAAAGGTGTTTAGCATTTGTCATTTATATGGTGT